ATGTGGGACCAGCTTGTGTGGCAGGGCAATAGCATGTGGGCCATCATGTGGGAAATGATGGCACACCCGGCTGCTATTACTGCTCCTGCCTACCACCCTTCTGCCCTCCCCCAAGCCAATTCCCCCTCCCCCTGTTCTCCAAGCAATGCATCTGCTCCCTCCCCAAGCGATGCCCCTGCTCCCTCCCCCTGCCATCCCTGACCCCACTCCTGCCCACACCCATGGTCACAGGACCCACCCAACCCCAAGTTCAACAAGGTCCCTGCACATCCAGCTGCCCCCCACATCCCTCCCAGCCCTGAGCCCCCGCCCCCTGGTTATGAGCCCCTTTTCCTCTCCCCAGCTTTTTTTTAATGAAAGATCAATACAAAGTTCATTCTGTACAATTTCAAACAGGTATCTTTATTCATAGTACAGGGAAGGGGGAAAGGGAGGGGTTGTGGTGAGAAAGGGATATTGCAGCAAGCCAGAGACCCCTAGTGGGGAGACCCTGGGGAGAGTTACTGAGGTCCTTGAAAGAAACTCTCCCTCGGGGCCTCTCGGATGTGCACCTGGCCTGATAAGCCTGGTAGATGGCAGCTGTCTGCAGCTGCAGAAAGGGTCCCCCCTTGCGGCTGGCCTCTGCCCCCCACCCCAGTAGGAATGCCTCCCTGTTCCTCTCCACAATGTTGTGGAGGACAACATGCTGAGATAACCTTGGGGATGTTGTGCTCCCCCAAATCGAGGTAGGTCGGGAGGCACCTGAACTGCTCCTTGTGGACGCCAAAGGTGCATTCCACCTGAATCCTCACCCAACTGAGGTGGGAGTTAAATTGGTCCCTGCTGAGGTCCAGGTGGCTGGGGTACAGCTTCATCAGCCACGGCATCCGGGGACAGGCCATGTCCCCCAGGATGCACAGTGGCATCTGCACATCCCCAACCGCAAAGTCACTGCCGGGGAAGAATATGCCCTCCTCCAGCTTGCCACAGAGGCTGGAGTTTCAAAAGATGCAGGCATCGTGTGCCCTGCCCGACCACCCAAGAAAAGTGTCAGTAAAATGTCCACAGTGGTTAACCAGCGCCTGCCAGCACCATTGAAAAATAGCCCTTGCGGTTGATATATTGGGCCGCTCAATGTTGAGGTGCGTGGATCAAGATGTGGGTCCCCTCTATGGCTCCATCGCAGTTTGGGAACCCCAGGACAGCAAATCCAGCCATAATCAGGCCCACATCCCCCAGGCAGATGACCCTGTGCAGCAGGATGGAGTTGATGGCCTTCACAGCCTGCAGGAGACAAACTAAACACACAAAATACAGAATTAGAGGGTGTTCCTGAGACCTTGGGAGGTGCCCACCCTTCTCCCTTGCCCTCCCCACTAAACTTCAGGAGCCACCCCCATGAGGCTGCTCCCCTCAGCAGCAGGGCTGAGAGAGGGCAGGACAGTAAAACCTCCCTCACTCCCAGGTCCCCTCTTCCCCCCCAACTTCCCTTTTCTTGAGGGTTGCCCTTTTCCAGGACTCCTCCTCCCGCCCCCAAAGGGACTGCAGCCTGAGAGAGCCTTACCTTCAAGAGGAGGGCCCCAATGGTGGACTTCCCCATGCTGAACTGGCTGTCCGCTGACCGGTAACTGTCAGGGGTGACGAGCTTCCAGATGGCAGTTGCAACCCACTTCTCCAGGGGGGTGGCAGGCTGCAGGTGAGTGCCATGTCATTGGAGGGCAGGGTCAAGCCAAGCACTCAACTCCAAAAAGGTGGCTTTCCACATGTGGAAGTTGTGGAGCCACTGCTGGTCGTCCCACTACCACATGACCAGGTGGTCCCACCAGTCGGGACTGGTGCTCAGCCTCCGAAAACACCTCTCCACTGCAGAGTGTGGTTACACAGGTCTTGAGACCCTCTCCCTGTGCACGGGAGCGGGTCTCAAGAATGAGCTTGGAGCTGAGCTTGTGCGGGGTCAGGAAGGTGCCTGCACAAACTGCCGCAGAAACTGCAGCATAGCCATGTGGGGCCATCACATGTGCAGGGGCAGCTCCGGCTCTCTTATTATGGCTAGAGGCCTCAAAAGCTGGAAGGGTCTCGGGACTCTCTGGATCTCTGAAAGGACCTGCCTGTGGATTCATAGGCAGCTTAAAACCAGTACACATCTGTGATAAAGTTATCAGTTTCATTATCAGATTCCTGGTGGATCTCAAGTGCTTATAGTCACCCATATCATAGCAGGAAACAGTTCAGAGAGTAAGCATCCATGATATTAAAATGACTTATTTCAATATTGTTCAATATCAAGTTAAAAATTATATCAACACTCTTCCAGTCTGAAGTTGCTGACCAGTCACATTTATGCTGGACGAAGCAGAACTATACTTAAAACAATTTTGTTCCATAAAATGTTGCCCAGGTTTTCTTTCTAATATTTGCTTGCTTTTAAAAAGCATGTGCTGTTAAGCATAGTGCTTTAATCTTCTTGGAAAAACAGAAAAAGGGATTTTGCAAATCACTGAAGAAACTGCAAAATTAAATGGTGCCAACAATATCCAGCATTTACTTGTATCATATGCATAGTTCCATATCCTCTTAAATGTGGACTTTTGCCAGAAATATCAAATACATATCCTTAGCACATAATCTGTCCATTTATCACTCAACAGCTGAGTCCTCTAGGGGTCTTGGTCTTCCCATTTATTCATTTTTTCCCCAAAAAGTAAAGAAACTGATGTTAAAGTGAAAGGTCTTTTTATGTGTCTATGAAAACCACACTGGCAGATGAAAATCAGGTAATTAAGCAACGAGTTATTTGGAAATGCAGAACTGTGATTTATACTCAAAGCCTATGCCCTTTGAACATTATACTCTGGCCCAAAAGGTGTTTTTATAAATCACTTTCAGTTTCACCGGTAGAGCATTGTCAGAGTGATTCACTCATCACTGTGTTGAATATCTCACAAGCTAAACTTAAGGAAGCTTGGCTGTGCCTGGTTAGTATCTGCATAGCCTGGGAATCTTATGGAAAAGCCCCAGTGTTGCAGGAAATGGTTTGGTTAATTAGTAGGAAGCACCTTTTTGAGTCAGAATTAAGTCAGAGAATCTGCATGATACTGGAGAGCACCACGCTGCCAGAAACAGCATCTTTATGATGAGGTACAACACATTCCCAATAATTCACAAGTGTGCTATTTTCACAACAGTAGGGATGTTTGTTCTGGTTTCCTGAACAAATTCCATTAAATGGATGAACAAATTCTAGCCACCTAAGTAGTCATTTCTTTAATTGGACAAGCTATTTTTCTCCACTTTCTGTCCCTATATTTTTGTATGGTGATGCTAGCAGCATTATAGTGGCTGCATTTTAGTGGTGAATGAAGAGTATTTAGTTTGTAATTCTGTAAAGCATTTTGGGGCTTCTGAGAGACACAATGGTTAAATTGTGAGGTCCTTAGGCAGTGTTTATCCAATCCTTATGCAAGTAGAACTCCTGCTAAAGTCAAAACTGAGCAAAGGCCAAAAGAATGTAGTCCATTTGTAATAATTAAGATATCCTTAAGGTAAAAATCTGCTCTCTCTTTTATAATGTAACCACATTTAATTTTTAATTTTCCACCAGGTCAGTGAGGACAGAGGCATTTACATCATCTGACACCCCAAGAATGAGGATACCTCTGTTTCTTGTCACATTTTCCAAACCTCCCAATTTATAGTCTATTGTAAAACCCCTTTTTCTTCAATATACTTTCTTAAATGTGCCTCCGCAGCATCCATTTTGTCATCCAAGTAATACATTTTGAACATATATGTTTCCTCTCTTCTCTAAGAAGTAAAAGCTGTTTTGCCATCTATCCCACTGTAGTCTCCTTAAACTACAGTGACCTAGGAGGAAGCCACATGCTTTCATGTTGTTTTCAGCAATGTCCCAAGCCTAAATTTTCTGGCAGGATAGAGACAAGCATGGGGGGCAGAGAGGGAGGGAAATTGCATATCTTATTTTGATGGTATTTCAAAATAGCTTATTTTGAAATTAGGCACATCTTCACAGCACTAAATTTTGAAAAATAACCTGCTATTTTGATACATCCCTTAACCCTCGTAGAATGATTACAGGGATGCCAAAATTGTGTGCCTGTTATTTTGAAATATTTTTCAAAATAATGGGCGCATTTAAAAGATGCAGGGTAGCTATTTTGGGATACCTCTGGTATCCCGAAGTAGCCCCGTGTCTAGATGTACCCTAATTGTCTATTCTTTTCCCTTTTTCTTTTTCCTTCTCCCCCTGCCACATCCGCTGTTTATTTAGAAACTGGACCTTTAATAACTCCATTCATCTGAAGAAGTGGGTTGTGCCCACAAAAGCTCATGATACCAGTTACATGTTTTGTTAATCTCTAAGATGCTGCTAGACCAGTGTTTCTCAACCAGTGGTACGAGTATCCTTAGGGGTACTCAAGAGAAGTCTAGTGGGTACATCAACACAACTGAAGCTTGGAGAAAACTGAATTTGTTTATAGTTTTACAGCACTTTATTATTTTTGTACTTTTTACACCCAAGCATTTCATCACCCACCTGGCTACAATTAAGTTGTTTAAACAAATGCATTGCAATGGCTGCAAAAAATTGTGTGTCTGAAAACTGTAGGTACAGTGGGTACTTATAATTTTTTTTTTTAAAGGGAGTACTTTATAAAAAAAGGTTGAGAAACACTGTGCTAGATTATTCAGTTTTTTAAAAGTTTTCAAATTAAATGATGTTATTTCTGGGCAGCTTTATTTCCTTTTTCAGTCTGTTACAGAGACGTGTATGAGATGTGTTAGTACTTCTTGAGCCACATCATAGTAGTATATCTCTATTAGCTTTAATTCTTATTCATATCCACAGGAAGAGGTAACTTCTCCTATTGTAACATAGGTTTAGTTCCCCCCATAACAGCTATTATCTGCACATCTAGAAAGTATCAAAGTGACTTATAAATGGATTTTCAACAATTCCCTCTAATTATTTCCATCTAGATCCTTGTGAGGAGTTGACTCACCACCATGGCACCACTAGCCAGCAGTCCTGTGAATTAGTTCTTCTTGCCTTGCTGGATGCCTTTCTCTAGGTGGTGTCACCCCATGTTTCTCCTCATGTCACAGTGTCCTCTTGCAGACACTGCCCTCCGGCAGTGCCCACACCAGCGTCCAAGCCCCCCTTCTTGGGGAGGTTGTTGTTCCATCTGCTCACATCTCAAAGTCCTCTCTTTCTCATAGCACCCTGATCTCCTCCTTAGGAGCTAAAGCCTGGGCGTTTGTCTGGCCAAACCTCACCTCACCTCACCTCACCTCACCTCACCTCACCTCACCTCACCTCCTCTAGCTCCAGGGCACCTCCTGCTTCCCTAGCAGTCAGGCCCTCACTGCTTTCTCTCAAAGCAGCTGTCAGTTCTCCCTTATATAGCTCCCAGCTGGGCTCTCATCAGCTAGAACTGCCTCAGCTGGGGCTTTGCTCCTGTCCCCTGCTCCTGGCTGGGGTTTTTCCCTTAAAGGGGCAGTGCAGGGCAAGAACCCTGTCATGGTGCTGAATAAAATTTATGTGCTCCAAGGCACATGTGGATGTGCACCACCAGTAGACACGTACGCTGCCAGTTGTGGGTGCTCTGGTAATCAGCTGTTCTGCACCTGAATCTCTTCTGGATGACCGCCCAAGCATTCAGCTTACAGGGAACACTGGTTTTAAGTGGTATTTCTTTTCCAACTGACATTCAATTGTAATGTAGATAATTCATTTAGCAGCCCCAGCCAATCTTAGCAGAGTTTTCCAAGGAAGGCAAAGTGGCCAAAACAGTAAAACATGGTTAGTTTTCCATTTTCTTTATTCAAATAAAATAAGGAGTGATGAACTTTTTTATTTTGAAGATCTCATTATAAATACCTCTGGGCTACATCTAGACTGGCATGATTTTCCAGAAATGCTTTTAGCAGAAAAGTTTTCCGTTAAAAGCATTTTCGGAAAAGCACATCTAGATTGGCAGGACGCTTTTCTGCAAAAGCACTTTTTGCGGAAAAGCGTCCGTGGCCAATCTAGACGCGCTTTTCTGCAAAAAAGCCCCGATCGCCATTTTCGCGATCGGGGCTTTTTTGTGGAAAACAAATCTCTGCTGTCTACACTGGCCCTTTTGCGCAAAAGTTTTTCGGAAAAAGACTTTTGCCTGAACTGGAGCAGCACAGTATTTCTGCAAAAATACTGACAATCTTACATGAGATCGTCAGTGCTTTTGCGGAAATTCAAGCAGCCAGTGTAGACAGCTGGCAAGTTTTTCCGGAAAAGCGCCTGCTTTTCCGGAAAAAGTGGCCAGTCTAAACACAGCCCTGATGTATATTAACTAGACATTTCTTTTTGTTAGTTATTGAAGAGCATAGCAGTGTAGTTCCATTTCACACACAGCAATCATGTTGAACAGGATGTAAGTCAGGGTAATATTTAGTTGCAGAGAAGAATCAGGAATGTTGACATAGCTACAGAATAGGATCATTTGCATCTTTTCCTCTGCCCAGAACTATGACCAGGGAATTAAAGCAGAAATGATGGTCTTATTAGGAATGGTGGGAAATTCATAGGAAATATCATTTTTATCATCCAAGTATTTTGTGAAGTAAATAAACTTGGTAAAAAGGCTTGCTCAGCCTTATGTTATACACCATTTCAGGAGAACTGCTTGTAATGAGGTATATGTTACAGCATTCTCTTGTTCAAGTTATTTTAAACTCTGAGCACCTACAAATAAATCATCAAAAGAAACAGGACTGCTGAGTAAGGGCTGCAGTACTAGTCTTTGAGTGACATGTTTAATATCTTGGGGTAAACATTTGAAGTTTCTTTAAAAAATTGTAATTGTATCATATACACCCTATTGAGCTACTAAAAAGCAAAAGACACATTTTATGATACAAGGAAGCTGGAAATCTCTTATAATTAAATCTGTGACACCCCCCTGGATGTTTATAGATAAACTCAACAATAATTGATTTTTAATCCAACACTTTTTCAAATGACTTATGCTCTTAGTGCCTCATTTTTTTCTACTTTCTCTATGTACTACTCTCCAGGAAGAAAAAATTCCATCTAAATTCCTTTTGTGTCTGGTCATTCCACAGATTAAATCTATGCTCCTTATTTTGTATTTGGTATGAACTCATAGCTGTTAGTATCTGTCTTGTCCCTCCTTATTCTTATATACATCATTTAGATTCCTTAGAATTTTATCTTTTGAAAGTTCACAAGCCCAGTACCTTTAATCTTTTTAACTAAGAGGTTTACTTCATCTGGTTTCCCTCTCCTGTCACTTGTCCATCTCTGATATCCTGCCATCAAAGAAGCAAACAGAATTTCGTGGAGTGTGCCCAGTTTTGCTCTCAGATACACCTGTACAATTCCCACTGTATTCCCTTGGAGCTGTGCAAGAATATCTGAGGGCTGGGTAGGCCCCGGGTTCGTAAATGGAAAATATAATGGGATGTGTGGGGAAAGGCATGAGGGAGTCAGATTCAGCTTCCTGATTCTCCGAACCAGCCCCACTCTTGCCACAAATAAAGTTGCTGACCGAAAGTTTTTAATTGCACACAATTAATGGAACAGTGCAGGACTACTGAGGTGAAGAAGAGCAGAGACTTGTTCCTATCCATCTTGTCTTGCCTGCTTTTTCCCCTATCCTCTCTCTGGCATCTGTTTCTCTATCATTATGTGAATGCTGAGTAAAAATATTTCTTTAACATTTTAACAACACCTATCTTGCCATGTAAATGTACTGGCATTGCTAAGAAGTCCTACTGTCTACATCCGACTCCTGTTTTCTTGTGTGAGTTTGAACAATTTATTACAGCATTCATTGGCTATCTTCCTTCCATGCTATTCCTTTCCTTACTCTCTCTTCTGTAATCTGAAGCTGACATTTAGTCAAAGGTCATCCATTATGGTTCACATAAAGCCCAATCCTGCTAGGTGCAGAGGAATTGCAATACCCATTGAAGTACAGTAAATGGGTGCTAAGGCCATGCAGCACCTCACTGGTTAAAGGCCTAAAGAGTCAAGCAGAAATACTGAAAGAACGCCAGATTATTTTTGATCATTTTAGAACAGTGTTCTTCAAAGTGGGCCACTGGCCCACTTTGGGAAAGCCACTAGTGGGCCCACGCTGCTTTGTTTACCTAAAGGCTCTGTAGCTTCCCATGTTTCCTCTTAGCTGGAAATGACAGACCGGAGCCAATGGGAGCCAATGGGAGCTGTAAACAAAGCTACACAGGCCCTTTAGTGGCTTTCCCAAAGCAGGCCTGTGGCTCACTTTGAGAAACACTGTTTTAGAAGAATCAAGATTAGACCGATGAATCTGACTTTCTAGCCACAAAGAGCTTTTATCCACAATGTATGATCAGTGCTACTGGAGAATTTGATTCCATTTAGTAGTGGAACATGGTTTAAAGTGTAATGCTGCACCACAGACACACTCCTGAAAACAGCAAGCTAACCTGAGAACTCATTATTAGCATACTGTGATCAGATTTCAGGAGTAACAGGTAAACTTTTTGGCTTAATTGAGATGTAATTAAATATTCCAAAATAATGATTACACTGCAAGCTTTTATGCAGTAGAAATGAATATTTTCATATCCCACACAGAGTCTGGTCTCAGAGATGACCCATCCATTTGGATAGTTTGAGGAGATTGCCCCAAACCCCACATTTTGGGTGAGTAGGGGAGGCCCTGTGCCAGGACCCTGATAATTCCCTAGCTCACATTGGTTAGGGGTGGAGAAGGAGGCGAGGCTTAGGCGGAGGGATGGGATGGGGCAAGGCCTGTGGCAGAAGAGTTGCCCTGGGCTCCATGCCCATCTAGGGACGGCCCTGTCTGGGTTAAAACAGAGATCTGAACATGCAGTACAAATGATTTTGTACCATTAGACATGCCATATTCATCATAAGACATTAAAAAGTAAATCATTCTTTGATAGAGGTGCAGTTGAAATGTAAAATTACATAGTAACTTTCTTCCTTTACATGCTCCACTTTCTTTATGATGATTCTGCCATCATCAGCTGGAACTCAATTGCTTTTCAACTGAAGAACCTCAGAATTACGAACACCTCGGAAATGGAGGCTGTTCATAACTCTGAAACGTTCACAGCTCTGAACAAAATGTTATGATTGTTCTTTCAAAGGTTTAGAACTGAACCTTGGCTTACTATAGCTCTGAAACTTTACCATGCAGATGAAAAATGCTGCTTTTAAGCATCTTAATTTAAATGAAACAAACACAGAAACAGTTTCATTCCTTTGTCAAATCTTTTTTTAACATTCCCTTTATTTTGTTAATAGCTGACGTTTAACACAGTACTGTACTGTATTTGCCTCTTTTTTTTTTCTTTTTTTCTTTCTTTTTTGGTCTCTGCTGCTGCCTGATTGCTTACTCCGAGTGCCAAAGGAGCCGTATGATTGACCTATCCGTTTGGAACGCTGGTGTACATAACTAAGGTGCTATTGAGCTTTAAATTTTGTTTTATAATGTAAAAATATAATACCAGATGATGAGTTGGTATAGATGGACATAGGTCAATTTACTTCAATGCAACTATACCAACTTGGCTTTGTATAAGTATATGTTCACACATTTTTTATCGTACACTTAAGCTATGTGGTTTATTTTTCTGCCCTGCCTTAAAAAAGTCAGTTGTATTATTACATTGTTTTTACAACCGACATATGTCTATTATATTTAGCTGAAGGGAATAATTAAGATCTTATTTAAAACACAGACAAACAACACAGAAAATGTTAAGCTATTTATTTGCACAGTTATAGGCATGGAGATACTTTCCTCTGCCTTTAAAGCCTATAAAAGTTCTATTCATACTGCAAGGATTTATAAGGAATGCTCATTAAAGAGTAGCAACTTACTTAATTGTCAAAGCACAATAAAAATGACAGTACTAGAAAGCACGAAGGGTATGTCTAGACTACATGGCTCCATTGACGGAGCTATGCAAACTAGTTTACCCAGCATAGGCAAAGAAGCGGGGATTTAAATAATCCCCGCTTCATTAAAATAAACATGGCCGCCACGCTGGGCCAACGATCAGCTGATCC